ACTTCCACTTGAAATTTTTTTTTAAATTTTGTTCTATCATAGCTGGAGTATTATAACTAGTCATCATGGTGTTTCAAAAATTTCTAGTTGGGATCGAGGGAGTATCTCATTGGTGACAGAGCACGTGTTTAGCATGCATGAAGTCCTGGGTTTGATCCCCAGAACTTGAAGAAAGAAAAAGATCTTGTTATTCAGACACCAAGTCACCTGGACCATAGTTAACAATATTACATTTATTGTATAGTACTATCATGAAAGAATGGGGCTCGATGGGGCTCAAAGTACTACAGAGCAGTCATGTACCTTCTGAATCAACAGAGCACAATAACATTCACCTTAGCAGTATTTTAGTCTTAAGGGAATTTTCCTTTTTTTTTTTTTGCAGAACCAGGGATTGAACTCAGGCCCTTGCGCTTGCCAGGGAAGCACTTATTCCACTGAGCCATCTCCTTGGCCCCTTAAGGGAATTTTTAATGGAAATTATTTCTCTGAAAATCTGAGAGAGATATAATGTCTTAATAGCAACATCTGGTCAATCAAAACAGTGAAACAGTAGTACCAGATACAGAGAGAACAGAAGTATTTTTGGTTTTCAAGTTGCCAAAATGAGCGGAACTATAAAAATAAAATATTCCGAAAAGAACTTAAAAAGTGTTAGTTTAGAAAGCCTGCATGTTACTTCAAAAATTATAAAAGAAAAAATTCCAAAGTAGAGTAAGAACTAGGCCTTAGAGTTAACATTTGATTTAAACATTTTTTTTTTTCCTCCCAATGCCTTCAGGGCAGGTTTGACTGCTTGAGTTGTGAGGATCGAACCACAGCAACCTGAGCCTGACTGCTTTGTTGAAGCAGCCACTTAAAGAACTGAGCTAAGGGGCAGGCCCCCTAAACATTTTTTTATTAGTACATGTTTGTGGCATGTAATATTTATTGTGAGGAGTTGGTCCATGTACATGACACATCTTATTCTTTTTAAATCTCCCACATTCTTGCTCCCTTTATCTCTGCGTGTATGCATGTGCATACACATACATATGTGTGCTTACGAACATTCACACAGAAACACACAATAAAAGAAAACCCTTTCAACTGATATACACTAAGTGGAAAAGGTTCTTGTTAGTTTAATAGGTCTGCTTATGTAGCCAAGGAGCTCTCAGAAAAATAAAAATATTTAGTATTCCATATATATTTTTTAATCCTTCAACTAAAGGAGAGATGTACTTTTTACATGAAAAGATTCTGGGGTGACTTTTTACTTCTCACTTTGTTATTTTTTTTTTTAAATGCATTTTAGTAGAGTACAGTTCGAAAATCATTATCTACCTTATCTTAAATCACAATCCCGGATTTTTGTACAGCTATGGCATTAGAACATAACTCCACTTTCTTATTCCTTCTGGATTATAAAGCAGTTCTAAAGTTAAATACCAAACTGATGACAATTAAAGGTTACCCTCTATGGTAAGGCATAGAAGTCTTTAGAGGATAAAATTCTCATTTAGTGTAAAACTCATACTGTGAAAACATTCTCATACTGTGAAAACTGAGAAAATACATTCCTAAATTGATGTTTCCAGGCAAGAGGAGAAAACTGAGTGTCAAAATGAAATAGAATATTGTTAACTATGGTCCATAAGATAGACTTTGCCATTCAACTGGTTCAGGTAGGACTAGTATTGCTTACTAGTCAACTTTGGTCAGAAGCCTTTCCTGGGTCAGAAAGGAAGACAAGGAAACTCATTTCTCTTCCTTTCTTCTGAGAACAAATATTTTGATTTTTAATGTATGAATTCTAACCATTCTAAAACAACATGAAAAAAATTTAAAACTCTATTTTTCCAAAGAAAGCTACAATTGCTTCCTCTTGAAAGCTTTAGTTAAAGCCAACATGGTTATAATTCACTATAACAACACTCACAAAAAAATCAAAGCACAAAATTAAACATAAAGGATACATTGTCTTTTTTTGGTTCTTAACACATATAGCTTCCAAATAGCAAACTCCTGTTTACATTGTGAAGTGAGTAGACTAAAAGCAAGATTAACAAAATGTCTAATACACATCAAATTACAGAATTTATGAATTAAATTCTGTTGGCTATAAAACTCTGCCAGTGGCCATATCGGCCTAGAGTTTTAATATAAATTATTTAATTTTAATATAAATGAGACTAGAAATGACAAGGAATGGGGGAAGGGACTTTCCTTCTTGAATAGTTAAAGAGGGAAATTTTTAGCTAAAATGAATTACATGAAAGAAAAAGAACATGTAAAGTCAGGTTCTACAAAATAATTTGAAAATAAAGTGGAACTTAAAGTATAAGAATAGAACCATAGTAATAAAAGATTTTTAAAAGTTTCTAAACTTTTTAAGGAAACAAAGATATTAACTGTTCCAGAAAAGTATATAATTGCTAAATAAAAATATTTTTTCTTTTCGCACATAGGCTTCTAAATCAATAATCTAAATATTAAATTACACAATCATTAAACAATAAATAAAATGGCATAATCATACAGTTGTCATAGAGTGTGTCTGTATGAAGCAATTTAAAATTTTGTTAGCATAAATTCTTTAAAATTAGGTCCTGGTTTTTACTAATACAGTGAAGTCAAATTTGGTTGAAAAGCTATTCTATTCAGATTGAAGTTGTTAAAAAGACTAGTTTTTATCTCAAAAAATTGTTGAAAAGTGAGCATTTCTAGAACTTTCTCTTTTAGAATATGTTTTCAGGAATTTTTCATTAGGAACATTTTAGAAGTTCAGTTATATTAGTCAACTTCATCTTTTTATGTATTTTAAAAATAATATTAAGTAACTTTTTCTTTTTTTATAAAGTGACTCCTAGATAGATCTTAATTTGTAGTTGTGAATTGAAGTTGCTCTGTAAATGTCATTCTAGTCTTACTGATGGAGAAGCAGATAAAAGCAACTGAAAAGCTCTCAAATGTAAAGATTTCCCAACTGGATATATTAATCAAACCCTCCCACCCCCCAAAAAATTCACTTGGAGTAAGAAATAGACACATTTTGCTTAAAAAAATAAACCCATTATTAAGTACAAAGTTGCAGAGTTTCAGCACACAGGTTTAAATGAATATATAGTAGCGATTGTAACCTAGTTCATTACTTGGTCATTGCTCTGACTGATGGCATACTTATGTGTGAGGGCTACTATGAGTCAATAGATGGCAGTCCACCGCCTAATAAAGGAGCTGAAGATGACTAAAATCAACATCCATATTGTTTTTACTCAAGACTGAATATTGCTTAAATGCATACATTTAGATATTGCTCAAATAGTGATAAAATAATTTAATTATTTAACTTTTATTTTAGATGGATTGATAAATAGGGACACATTATCTATAAGCATAGGAGTGTTACACTTATACCTATATATAATTTCACTAATACTTGAAACTATAAATTGTTAGTTATTTCAATATTATTTTGAAAAATTAAGTAGGATTATTTTGAAAAATTAACCAGAAATGAAATTTTCAAATTGAATTTGTTATGCCCACAAAATATTGTAGAGTAATTATATTCTACAAAAGGAAAATTAACTTTTTCATCTATTTTTACCCAAAATATTCTTTTTGCAATATTCTGGAAAGCTACAATATTAAATAAACCTTCAAATATTTGTTATACCTGAAACCAATTATTTCCCTTCGATGAAAGTTATATAAAAGAACATTGCAAATAATGAAAAGAGTAGCACTTTCTATACTTTTGGTTTCAAAACTAGAATTCTCTAAGGAGAAAGCTAAAAGAAATATATTGTCAAATCAATTAGAACATTACTTAAAACATAATGATAAACACCAGTATATGATTACAGAGAGTAGCTCTGTGATCTTGAAAAGTACAAGATATGATCTGATCAAATTTAAACTGTAACGATTTCACTACACTATATTAGGATGAAAAAGTGCTATATAAGCAGAAACATAATATATTCTGATGAATTACATCTGTAACATATATGGTATGTATATATCTTTTGAAATAACACCAAAGATTTTAACAAATTCCTATTTGGGAGATTTAGTTGAGGCATAGTTGAGGAATTATACTTTCTATTGATCTATAAATAAATTAAAAGGTCACAACAAAATGTGAAAATAAACCACTTGATATTATTCTTGATTTTGGGGGGCTATGACAGAATGCCGATATGAGTCTACTGGCTTGCTTTTTATTTATATAAGAAGGGAGGAAGGTATTAAAATGACCTTCCTTCATATAAAAACTTTTTAATATGTTAAGATTTTAACATCTATTAATTTGTATGTATTACATACATAACTGTACAATTAAAAGAAAATCATCTCTTAACATACCACATTTTATACACTAAAAATGACTAAAAGAGCTATGGTGAATTACTGAAATTATTTAATACTTTGTAATTATTTAAGCTAAAATCATAATAAAAGGAAGCTAGAGAACTAAATAATTTGGCTTTAAGAATATATTTATACAATTCAAATGCATCAAGAAGGGCTTAAGGATAGGAAGTTAACTGTGTTATATGAAAGATACACCAAGCTTTTTCTAGCTTTATTTTACAAAATGTGTAAATATTTCAGTAAAGGGAGAAAAATGGTAATAGATACTGTGGACTGTATGCTTGCGGACTTTGAATGATACGATATTTGAAAAAATCCATTACTATTTTTATGACTTCCAGCATATATTTCCCTTGTACAATAAATGTAGTTAAGGAAGATGGAGAGATGCTATGATATAATCATTAAATGATGTAAGTAATACAAAAATCAAAATCTTTTAAGAACAGGAAGATAAAGAATAGGGTAGTAGGCAGGAGAGAAGAGAAAAAGTACATTATTGCTTTCTCAGTACAAAAACTCTTCAGATGTTTATTATCTTCCAGCAGAAGATGCTTGTCTATATTTTATGGTCAGCAGTTCAGAGAAGGGTGAATAGGCTGGGTCTTGAGGAAAATAAAAAAGGTGTTTCTACTCAC